CCCCCCCCCCCCCCCCAAAAAAAAAGAAAAAGAAAAAAGAACGGCCAAGAACACTTCCCCCCTAGCAAATAGATTTCCACAAATAAAACAGTCTCTAAGCAATAAATTCTCAGATTAATTTCTATGTAAATTTATGTTTTGAGATCAGTAAAACCCTACAACAGCTTCCTCTCAGATTACATCACAAATAACTCAAAATTCTTCCAAAATTTCTCAGATCAATCAGTAAAAGTTGATCTCTAAACATTGATGTTTAGACAATAAAATTGATCAAATGTTGGAGGAATCAAAGATAAAACAAAATAATAGGAGAAGAAGAGTAAGTGAGAGGAGATTAGGTGATGAGGAGAGAAAGAGTATACCTATCGACGGAGATTTGACGGGAAAGAAAGGACGACGGCAGTCGGCGACTTCGTCGTAAAGATGCCGGCTGCGATCTGCTGGAAGGAGACAATGATGGCGACATCGTCTTCGTTGTCGCAGCCAGCAGTCACTGCGCGCGCCGATCTACTGGGAGTAGACGACTTGACCAGCGCACTGCCGATCGAGTTCGTTGCGCGTAGTGCACCTGTCCAGCGACGGCCGAACTTGGAGGCATCGACGCGCCGACGACGAGCCGACTTGGCCAGGAGAGGCCGCACGCACGATGGGACCTAGGCCGGGCAGACGGCGATGGCGACGTGACTTGGGGGAGATAGACGGCAATAGGACTTGGAGGAGACCGCGACGACGACGGGACTTAGGGGAGACGGAGACGGCAATAGGAATTGGAGGAGACCGCGACGGCAACGGGACTTGGGGGAGACAGAGACGACAATAGGACTTGGAGGAGACCGCGAAGGCGACGGGACTTGGGGGAGACAGAGACGGCAATAGGACTTTGGGGAGATGGTGACTTCGTGGTCCCGAGGCGTGGCGGCAATCTGACGATGGTGAGGAGGATAGGTCTGAAGTTGGGGGTCGTCGTTTTGGGGGGAAATGAAAACCCTAGGCTTAAAAACAGATTTTTGTTGTTTTGAGAAAAGCGTCGAAATTCTAGGTTGGTTGTGTTTTAGGATAGAAAAACAGATCAGTTCCCAAACGCGTTATGTTTCTTTTTTAGCAGAAACAAAACAAAAACGCCACAAACACCCTGGTTACCAAATGTAGCCTAAACAAACTAAAGGACAAAAAGGAAAATAAAATGTCACAAAGGGAAATTTGAAGTTTCTTGTCGTTTAACCCAAATTTTCTAAATAAATTGAGAAACCATGCACTATGAAGTAGCTGAATAAAATAAAGAACCATCAAATATTACATTGGAAGTCTTCCCCCTATTACTTCGTGTTCTTTCTGATGTGAATTGGTTTCTTCCCAAGTCCCAGCTCTTCCATGCTATGTAAACCTCTTCCCCTTGTTGTTAATACTCCAACAAACTAAAAGTCAAGAGAAAAAAAATGTTACAAAGGGAGATTTGAAGATTTTGTCATCTAAACCAAATTTATTCCTGGCAGAATGTTGATTTTGGCACTGTTTGGCAACCAAAAAAAAGTGTCTTATCTAAGAGCTTGTGTCTTATTGACTTGGTCAATAAGCTAGTAGAGCTGTTTGGTGACCAAAAATAGGAGAAAATTATTTTGAAGATTGTGTCTTTTCTAAGTAGCTTTTGGAAAGCTATCTCAAGTAGCGTTTGTCTTTGGGAAGGAGCTGTTAATTTTTTTCTTTCGTTTTTGCCCCTAATAATTCTAATTTTATATCAATAATATTGCATGACCTTTTTAGTCATTTAACAAATTTAAGCTAGTTGTACAGCTTCTTTTGCCAAACAGCTCTAGTCAATCAGCTAGCTACACAGCTATCAGCTTTCAGCTATAATTTCACAGCTTTCAGCTAGCTTGACAGCTTTCAGCTATAATCTCACAGCTTTCAGCTAGTTTTGCCAAACAGAGCCTTTATGGATAAGGATCAACTTAAAGGTTCTGAGAATGATATAGTATCTGATTAGATCAATTTCCTGTATATATATTTCTTCTGCAAATTTTAGTCTTGATTTTTCTTGTTATTCAAACTCACAAGGACTGAAGATAAACAATGTAGCTCAGTGGAGTTGTTACACATTGGCTAGTATGTAGGAATCATCACATTTTCTCAGTTATATCGTCGAGAGCTAAACGAGACAATAAATATAGTATTTAGAACTAGATCTATAAGCAAATAAAAATTAGGATATTAAATGTGTAGTGGTTGCTAATTAGTAATGTAGGTGACCCTTAATCGAGTTGAATAAAAAATGGACATATGTAACTCCAAAAAAAAAAAAAAAAATCAAATGTAGTGCTATTTCAGCAACTAGCATATGTATGGTTTGCTGTGTTCTTTTTCTGATATTTGAGCCTCTCCTAATGCTAATGCAAGACTACTATAATGTTTTCTATGTTTTCCTCTGGATATATGTTATTTTTTTCTACGATTTTCAAATGTATGGGTCCTTTTCACCAGGTGAAACTAAAGAACATGCTGTACCACACGGCACGTATCAACTGCCTAGCATGGTCTCCTGATAACCAAATGGTCGCTACTGGTTCTCTTGACACCTGTGTGATTGTGTACGACGTAGACAAGCCTGCAAGCAATCGAGTAACGATAAAAGGAGCTCACTTGGGAGGAGTCTCTGGTTTGGCTTTCGATGATGAGAACAGTGTGGTGAGCTCAGGAGAAGATGGATGTGTTCGTGTGTGGAAACTTAACCAGCAGTAACATAGTATGATTCTTTGCTAGGTGGTAATTTGCGCAGTGGTTGGTTCATCAAATAATGCAGTTGCATGTTTGGGTTTGACGTTAGTAGGTTTGTTTGCCTCGAGTTTGCATCTCCTGGTTTGGCTGTTATTGTTTTGTTTGGCTCGAGTTTTTGGGGTGTTTAAATTTGTGAAGATGGGAGAAAAGAGAAGTCGACATGTCCCAACTCTTTTTGTTGTGATTGTAATGTTCGTGGATTTTAAAGGTGAGGTGTAATATTTTGTTTGCCTTATCTTTGTTGTTTTAATTGGCAATTCTGATTTTTGCCTCATCTTTGTTGTTTCTGTTGGGAGGAGTCTCCGATCTAGCTTTCAAACAGTGGTGAGCTTTGAAGAAGATCAATGTATTTGTGTGTGAAAATTTATGAAGATAGTAGATTTCTCCGCAAGGCGATGATTGAGCTTTGGATGTTTGTATCTTTTCATTTTTAGGCTAGATGTTTAGCTTGCCTTGATTCGCATATGTTTTGGTTTGAGTTTTACCTATTTTGCTTGCTTGGAGTTGAGCTTTTGGGTATCTGAATTTGTGAAGATGGTATCATTTTTATTTTATTTTTGTTATTTTTTATCTTTTTTTTTCTCCGATAGCAAAGTTGGACAAAATTTTAAAGTGTGGTAGTGTTCGTGTGCCTCAACTCTTTTTGACAGATGATTCAGTTTATGGTATTGCTTCTGCAGATACAACCATAGGATGTATTTCTACTTCTCTACATTTGATGGATCTCCGCAGGGTAACAAAATGCTTCTTTCTGCAAGGGTATGGACAAATTTTCAAAACCGACCCCTTGGGGTTTTTATTTGCAAAAAACGACCGGTTTTGAAAATATTTACAAAAACCGACCCCAGGGGCTGAAAACAGGTCGGTTTTTGAAAATTTTTTTCCCAAACTTCACGGGAGTTGAACTCCCGTGAAGTTTTTCTCATAACAAAACTTCACGGGAGTTCAACTCCCGTGAAGTTTGGGAAAAAATTTTTCAAAAACCGACCTGTTTTCAGCCCCTGGGGTCGGTTTTTATAAATAAGTGTGAAATGGGTCGTTTTTTGCAATTAAAAACCCCAAAGGGTCGGTTTTGAAAATTTGTCCGCAAGGGTATTCCTCTTCTTGAATTCTTACAGACAACGCCTGAATTGATCAAAATATATTTGTTCTAATAGCGGATTAAAATATTTTTGTTCAAGCATTTCGGTTAAAATTTGTGCGAATACCAGGTGTTATGCCAGAATGGGCCAACTATCGATGATAAACATCGAAAATGTTTAGTGCCAATGGTATACAGACGATAATGTCTTTGGCAAATACCAGCTCTATAGCTGATCTCTTGCGAGGTATGCGGATTATATAAGGATGTTTCCTACGATTGTTGCTTTTCCTTTGCAGTGATGCAATTATGCTTACATGCCGAAAATAACTAGAAAGACATGGTTACCATTATCATCATTGTCTAGCGGGCTGGGGGGTAAAAAAAAACAAATATTTCTTCAGAAATATTTTCTTTCTTTGGGGGCTTTTAGTGTAACGGCAACCCCATGTCGATGGATATACATACATACGATACTCAAATGGGTTTTGTACTTGTAACCCCCAAATCAACTGCACTTATAAATTTACTCTCAGAATCTAGATATTTTCTAATTCACTTCATAATTCTACCACGTTGAGTTAAACATATCCCAAAAGCTATGTTATTATTAAGGAATTCCGGAACATTCCTAATTAGAAGAATTTTTCAAAACAGACCCACTTCAACTTTTTTTTCTTAAAACCGACCCGTTTTTTTTTTATTTATCAAAACCGACCCGATTTTGTAATTAGCAGATTAATCACATTCCTAAACAGTCGGGGTTGGCAACCCCGACTATTTAGGACATTAATTTTTAGGGTTTAAGGCTTCTAATTAGGGTTTAACACCTTCCTAAATAGTCGGGGTTGCCAACCCCGACTGTTTAGGATGGTGATTAAGCTGCTAATTACAAAATCGGGTCGGTTTTGATAAAAAAAAAAAAACGGGTCGGTTTTAAGAAAAAAAAGTTGAAGCGGGTCTGTTTTGAAAAATTCTTCTTCCTAATTATTTTGTAGTTGTTTGGCTGAAACATCCCCTCAGCCATCACAAATGTTAAGTTGGATCTGCTAAAGAAACACACCCGACCCGACAAACAGGAAACTATCGGGTCCCCACTGGCCACTACCCAAACCCGATTACCGTCTACGGTACATTTTCGCTCACTTGTTCCTCTGGAGCCTTCCCTCCTTTTGTTCCTCACTTGTTAATTGTTCGGGGGGAGAGAGAGAGAGAGAGAGAACAAAGGGAAAATGGCTTCAGGCTTGAAAATGGACGAAGAGACAGCGCTGGAAATGGTGAAGAAAGGAGCGACCCTCCTCCTCCTCAACGTCCCTCAGTTCACTCTCTTCGGCGTCGACACCCAGGTTTCTTTTTCTTCCTCTCTCTCCTCTTCCTTTTGACCTAATTTGAGAGCTTAGGACCAAGTAAAATGGCACGCTAGCCAGCGTACCTCTATTCAAGAGTCCCTCGGAGGGGAATTTATTTTTTTGTTTTGGTAAAGATTCGATCTTGGTTACGATGTGTTAACTGTGTTTGAGTTAATGCGGCTGTGAAAAGGAATTCGGTTTAAATGGTGTTTCCTTTGCCTTTTTGCAGGTGTTTTCTGTTGGACCGAACTTTATGGGTATCAAGATGGTCCCTCCTGGCCCGCATTTCATCTACTATTGCGCTGCGAACAAGTAAGCTTAATCAGGAGATAATTGAAAATTTTATTAAATAGTTGAGCATGACGCAATCTAATCTGGCTAATAGATTGAGGCAATGGGTTTATGCTCGGTTCTTCTCCTGTATATAGAGCTTAGTTTTACATATTTTTTTAAAAAAAATTGATGTTTGTTGTGATACCCTCTATATTGTGGCTGTGTAGCCACTTCTGCCCCCTAAACTATTTAATTGGCAGCAACACTCGTCGGGATTTTGTTAGTCTAGACATGAAAGTTAACCATGGGGCACCTCTGTTTCTCCTATTTATCACTTTCTTCCTAACAAATTGCCGCTTTAAATGTAGTGGATGAGCATTTGCTTTTTCAAAATAAATTGTCTCGTTCTTTCTTTTTTCCTCTCTTGCCAAAAATGTTACATTTTTTTGTTGCCACTGTTTGCTTACACTAATTTTTGTGATGAAATTAAGAGCCATAACAATTCTTCTCAAATTTTTTATTAGGAAAATTAAAAATGATTGAAGATTCACAAATCACTAAACTTCTACAGATGTGTTTTCTATAATTTAGGATGTTTTTCCGCATGCAGACTGTGAGATGTCTTGCATTTTTTTTGTGTCAATACATGTATGCCCCATAACTACTCCATTTTATGGGACATAATATTTGATGAACAGTGTCATGGCTAGTTATGATGTTTATTGTTATGACTAGTTAACTAAATAGAAGGGATTTCTTGGCTGAAAACAAATCTAGACATCTTTTTCTTTCCACTAAGATTTTCTGGCTTGAAGGATTAGTAAGGCCATCTAATAGCTGCTCAAGATATCATGCTTGTAACAATTTCAAATAAATCCATTCAGTTGATTTACCATTATTTATGGTTTTATGGGCATTAAAGGGCTTGATGTTCTTATACGAATTTGAAGTTGATCCAGGTTATAGATAGGACTGTATCCGTTAAACTTGTTTTGATATATTTCTTTCATTCCTTTTTCGGACTGGGAGCTCTTTTTTTAACTTCTTATGTTTTGTGATGCATATAGAGAAGGAAAAGAGTTTTCACCGACTGTTGGTTTCTTCATTATTGCTCACCCATCAGAGGTATTTCTTCAATTTCCTACATCTTAGATCCCCATTTGTTGACCGTATAATTAGTTTTTAATGTTTTTTGTGAACCTTGTTGATAAATTCACATATTGTAACTTGATGTAATTTAAGGATCTAACTTCTCAGTTCTGGATATTTTCCCTTTACATGTATCTATCATATCTTTCATTGAAAATGCTGACATACTAAGTTTCAAGAGAAAATATTGTAGGAATAGTCTTTCTCCTCTTAGGAACATCTCAGCATAATAAAACTCCTCAAAGACTTGAATTTATTCTAAATTTGATGCTTCTGGTCTGGTTATCAACCCCTCATGGTGGACTCTTACTCATATTATGTTCGTCATATTGTGTAATGCATGTTGCAGAAGTTTTGTCTGTTTTAACATATGCATTTCTCCAAATATAGCTGCAAAGCAGATCCCTTCGTAGCCTTATCGAGAGCATAGGTCTTTAAACAAATAGTAAATGCTTTTTAACAATTTTGAGCTTGGAACAAGTTTGAGAACAAGGCAGTTAAGCTTCAGAGGTTCCTTATTTTATCCATATTTCATATCACTCGTTGCAAGAAACCATGACAGCATGATGTTATTTATTGGACTTGATCACGTGGTTATATTAGCATAGATCACATATAAGATTCTCAGACCTTTGCCTAAATGTGACACATCTAACCCTATCAAACAGCCTAATACCTGTTGTTTAATGATTCATGGAACTTCTACCAATTGCATATCTTATGTCTCTTAAGATATGGGTCAGAATTGGAACAAGCCATAGACTTTCTTCTTCTCATTTCAAATTTGTGTGTGCGTGCATGTTTGTATACAACATTTTCTCTTTCAAACTAGATTATCTCTTTCTCGCTCTCGCTTCTTTGCTCTCTTCCAAAGTTCCACTAGTTTCATTAATCATGATTTAAGTGGCAAATAAATTGTTGTTAGAAAATTGTGTCAAGGAAACTTAAAATTAATTCAAGATCTTGGGTGTTGCTATCTATTAGATCACCCAAACTATCTTGATTTCATGTTCTTGTGTAAATTTGTTTTTTGCCAAGTTCTTTGCACATGCAAGAATAAGCAAAACTGAAGTAAACAAAATTGGTGCAGCATTTGAAGGATTACTTGTGGTCATCTAGCATTTCTTTACTTCTCTCTTAAAAAAGAACCGGTTAGACCGGATGGCTTTCTTAGATGTTAACTGAGGTTGGAATTACAGTAATAGTATATGTTGTTATGTTCATTACTTTTGGTTTGTTCCATTCACTTGAAGGAAGAAAATAATTGCTTTCTCTTCTACTCCTTGACCTCCAAATGATATTCACTTAAACTGCAGATCTCATTAAAAGTTCTTTAGGCAAAAAGGGAAACCTAGTTATATTTTACAGATTCAAGGCTGTCATGATACATTATGATATGTTTTACGTATTCGAGATGTGATAATATACATTTTAAGGGAAAACTTTGCTTCTCATCTTTAATAGATAAACACAGCTTTGTTTTTTAATATGATTGCCTCAGGTAATAGTTCGTGAGTGGCATCAACAAGAGGAGCGGTTGGCCAAAATCTCGGAAGAAGAGGTTCTTTGTCTACCCTTTCTATCTTACGTCAAGCATTTTGTACAGTTGTAGTTGGAAGTGTAGATATACTTTTTTATAAAAAAATTAAATGTGGGTATAATCTTGGAGTCTCCTACATCAATGATTCTGAGTTCCGCTATAAGTATTTTAAGTGTACTATTCATGGTTTGTTTTGTTTACACTGCAGCTTGGTTGCATGAGCTTAAACTGAGAAACAAAAGGAATGAGTTCATATACCATTGGCTAGGCATCTAGGGTGCTTGTGACCTAGTTATACTTGGTCAAAAGTAGGAATTTGATGCCGATTTACTACAGAGAATTGACGATTATGTTGAATGAGCATAAATTGTAAGACCAAAATGGTAGGTTTATTTACTACTAGGAAGATATTCAGGTTTTGCACAGCTTAGCTTTCTAGTTATGTTTGGGTTCAGGAGAAATGGTTAAGAACGGTTAATTGTCTATAACAACTCAAAATCTCAAACAAATTCTTCTGCGCTTCCTGGAGTTTGGATTAGATCATTTTGAGGTCAAGTTAAGATATTCATTGGTTGGGTTTACCTGGGATAAAACAATAATCTGGTAAAGGAAGGTAGCTTTGTAAATACCTTTTGAGGCCATGTTCAAATCATTTGATCCAACAGTAACGGCCGGTTTTGCCAATCACTCCTCCAATATTGTTAGTTTAACTGTGGTCCTCAGTAATTTTAACCCATATTTATTAAATTTGTTTGACAATATGAAGCCATGTTCTCTTTTAACCCCAACTGTAACCGATTTTAAACGTGGCCCTAGGCTTCAGCTTGTTGAACGCTATACCTTCCAAATAGTTACCTGGGTTAGCAATTTGAGACCCAACTCTTTTGTGGAGATTCTGAATCCTGACCCGAGCTTGACAGGCGACCTTATTTTATGGGAGAAGGTGCAGAGGATGATGATGTTTCATGGCATATTGCTGATGTTTATTGGAGTATTCAATTGAAGTAAATAACTTTTATATCATGGTGTTTTTTTTATATTGTGATATAGTTGAAATGTTTATCCATTGAGAATTTTGTCATGCTAATTAGATGATTACTTTAGACGGTTAAACTAGGGCACTATCTGCATAGGTACGTGGTCTATGACAGTTGTGAACAAGATTTCACCATGTAGCTGAAGTGGACAACTTATTTTGAAAAATTATTCTCATCAGATGTATCATGCCATCTATATCTGATACTCATTTTACACGGTCATTTCTTGCTCGCACTTCTGTGGATACCAATATTTATACATTTACTTAAAAGTGTTCCATAAGATGAATTGAGAAATGCTCTACCTGGAGATTTTAGTTTGTGTTATTTAATATTTTCCTCTATTGGTTACATCTAGAAAGTCATTCTAAATTATTCTGTACACTATTAGATGTCTGTAGGGTTATCAGTAGGGTGAAGGTTACATCTAGATTGTAACTTCTTTTCTTATGTTCTGACACAGTGTTCATGTTCACAAAGTACCCATGTTATCCGGTCTCATCTAACAGTAAAGAAAAGTTTTCTCAATGAAAATGATGTTGCAAATGATTAAAAATGAAAATACATCCCATCTTATGTTTGTAGTTGTATCATGATATTCTCAATATTTTTTCTTCTTTTTTGTGCTAGTTTAGGCTTTATGCGTGACAGACTGATAGTGTATGTATTTGACCTTTGTGGTCTCTAGTGGATGCATCAACTTTCAATTCATGGCACGTTACCTGCATCAAATTGCTTTCTCCATTCTTCCTTTTTTCCCATATGGTTTTAACTATTGCCTCGATCTTTTTATTGGCTTCAATTAATTTGATCTTTAAGTAGATTCACTATCTCGATCCCTTCTTCCCTCTGTCTTTTTTGTGTGTGTGTGTGTGTGTTCTTGTGTGTGTTTGTTTGTTCATGATTGTGTGCATCTTTCAAAGAACTTGAGTTCATTTTCTTAATTACCTATATTGTTTTGTCCTTTGTTGTACTGAACCATAATAATTGGTAGATCTTTAACTAGAATTTGCATTTTCTGTTAGGAAGCCAGGTATTTTGAAGCAGTGAAACGCTTTGAATTTGATCACCACCTAGGGCCTTATGCTTTAGATCACTTTGGGGAGTGGAAGCAGCTTTCAAGTTATATCACAAAGGATACCATTGAACGGATTGGTACACTCCATCACTTATTTCATGTTGTTTTCTGTTGGTGAATTTTTTTGTATCTGAGCCTATTATGTTCTTGTTATCTGATTATAGTTATATTTATAAAACCAGGCACATACCATGACATGCCTACATTCCAAATTCCCTTTCATGTATAGTGTTTAGCATCAGGCATGGTAAGGCTTAAGCTGCCATAAGATCCTGTATATGGTACTCTACAGTACGTTTTTCTACATATATGGTTATGAAAGGCCCGGTTTTTCTTTTATTAGTTCATCAGTTCCTGATTACATTTACTGCTTATTATTATATCATATATGATTTGGCAAATTATGCCATCACAAATTATATATTTTAGTACAATGGATGATTCATCAGTCGGGCTGTGATGCCTTTTTCTTCATACATTCCGTATTTTAGTACCATGGACAATTCATAAAAAATACATGTTTTCCAGGTACTCCCTTCAGTCAGGCTGTGATAAACTTTAGCCGAGTTTTCTACTTATGTGTTCTAGAATGAACACTGTTGTGATGCTGCTACCTATAAACTATCAACTACTCGATAGAATGGTGTACACAAAAGAGCTCTCCCTCCCTCCCTCCCTCCCGTTTGTTTTCTCTTGCTCTTTTACTCTTTTCCTTCGGAGGGAAGGGTATTGGCAGATGACTGAAAAATATTAAATTATTTTATGTCACGCCCTGATTCCAAAATGTAATAGTTTGGAGCGTGACTCGGCCGGCAATGCAACCATACGGTCACTTTCACGCCTCTGGATTATCCTGTATGTCAATATAAAACTAAAACTACACCATAGAGCATGTAACCAAGATAATAAAAGAAATGTATAGATAAAAAAATCTCCAAAAAAGAACAGAGTTCGAATACGAGTTCACAACTATCCACCATGGAAAAGAGTCAAGAATTTTTTTACATCTTAGTCTAGAAAAGTCACATGGAACTCAAGAGAAAAGCCTAAACCAAATAACTACCTAAAACAACTGAACTGAAGAACTGATAGAATGAACGGTGATCACTGCCGCTGAGTCTGCTCCTCGAAATACTCTCAGTCCTGCGAAGAAAGAACAGTCTCCGAGTCTGGGACACGCAAACACCAGGGGAGTCAGAAAACTTCCAACAAGCATGTAAAATGAGAAAATTGTGCGTGTGTAAGTGTAGGTAGCATATAAAAAAAAGATGAATTCTAAATTAACAATGATGAAAGGAAATGCTAGTCAAGAGATCAAGATAAGGTCCATCACCAACACACAAGCATATTATTATTATTTTAGATGTTATTTGAATTAGAGAAGAATAATTTTATGTATATAAATCGGTTCCCCGTAAACCGTCTCGGGAACACGGCTTCAAGTCAAGTATTGGCCCTTTGGCTCTTGTATATATAACTCATGATATCAGGAATGCGTATGTGACCGTTTATATACATGTTATATTCTTCGTCTAATTCCCCTTTATAAACCCCATGTTTTTTGTTTAATCTAAGTGACTGTGCATAAAATGTTGTGCACTAACCACAGAGTTATTGTGAACCGACTTATGTAAAACTATGAAAATAAACGTGATCCAAAACATGTCCAATCAAGATGGGTGCATCGTCTAGTCGATGCTACAAAAGTAATAGCCAAGAAAATACCTCATATCGGGATATCGATATCGAGGGCATAACCATGCTATGAAAGCACGCTTATAGATCATATTTTTAACAGAAGTCGTCTTCATGCACCATCAACCTCATTAAATGTCACTAGGTGATCAACATAGCATCAGGTGATCCAATAAGCATCAAGAGATCAAACAATATCATCATTCATCTTAATAAACAAAAAATAACTAATTAGCTAATTGTTAGTGTCAAACGGTCTAACAAATTTTAAATTGACTACATAGAAATCTACAAAAACTGATTTTAGTGAGAAAAAAACTTAAACAGGTCTGAAATATGATATTGGGTCCTAACTAGGTCAAACGAGTTTGAAATTTGGGTTTTTAGATCCAAACGAGCCTGAAAATTGGATAATGGGTCTGTAATTTAGGGTTATGGATCCAAACGGATCTGAAAATTTAATAACGGATCTGTAATTTGATAATGGGTCCGAACTGGGTCGGGTCCGAGGGGTTATAGATCTAAACAGGTCGGGTATTTGTGTATTTTGAACCCAAACGGGTCTGGAATTTAGTAACGGGTCTGTACTAGGTCGGGTTCGGTTGCAAACCGTCCCAAAACATATATGTGTGAAAAAGGAAGGCCTAGGGTTCGAACTCCAGACACTTGCATCATAGTCAAGTGCAACTAATAACTACACCCATAACTGTTTCATGTCTAAGAGAATGCAGACAATAAGTAAATCTCGGTTTCTATTAAATTCCTAAATAAACATTTTCAATTTGATAATGGGTCTGAACTGGGTCGGGTCCGAGGGGTTATAGATCTAAACGGGTCGGGTATTTGTGTATTTTGAACTCAAACGGGTCTGGAATATAGTAACGGGTCTGTACCGGGTCGGGTTCGGTTTCAAACCGACCCAAAACATATATATGTGTGAAAAAGGAAGGCCTAGGGTTCGAACTCCAGACACTTGCATCATAGTCAAGTGCAACTAATAACTATACCCATAGCTGTTTCATGTCTAAGAGAATGCGGACAATAAGTAAATCTCGGTTTCTATTAAATTCCTAAATAAACATTTTTAAATAAGTAAATGATAAACTTTATATATAAGCCGAAATTTTTATCTTTTGATTTATACGAAAATTTATGAAAAAATAATAGTACTAATAGCAATAGTAATGTTAAAATCATGGAGAGAAAAATATAATCAATAAATAAGATAGTAAAAATAGATCCTAGGATTATAAATCGTATTATTTATTTCCCCGAATAAGATATAACAAAAAAAAATCTCTAATAATTTTAAATATGAATACTACTATTTATTTCTATGAACTAGAAAGGAAAAGAAAAAAAAGATGGTGTTGCATGAAGCATAAACTAATAAGAAATTTTGAAAATGATTGAGGGAAGAAAATGCTTGCTCATATAAATCTTCACCTATTTACAGCTTTGCCATCAAGTTATTTACAGCTCATGCCATCAACTATTTACAGCTAATGCCATCAACTATTTACAACTAATGCCATCAAACTATTTACAGCTAATGTCATCAAACTATTTACTACGAATGCCATCAACTAATATCATATGTATTAATCAGATTAATAACTTACAAATATTAAAAATCATTGAAAAAAATATATGTAACGAGTGGGAAAAAAAATCAAAAATATTAATAATTATAAAGTAATAATATTGAGGAAAAGAATGCTTACCGATTCGTCGAATAAAAGACTATGAACCACAAATCCTAAAGAAAAAAAAATCCAAATCTCGTTCTCTCTTGTTCTTGGTTGGGTTTTCCTTCTCTCTTTTTTTTCGTTTTTTTCCCTCTGCGGGGTTGAGGGAAGAAGAGGAGAGAAGATCTATATATAAGGGAATGTTAAGATTTTTTTTTTAGAATCCCTAAAACTAAGGGAGTTTAATTTGTGGAAAAGAGTAGTTGTAACAAAAAACTGCAGGGATTCATGATTGGATGTGGGAGGATCAATTCATAAAGATTTGTCGGGCAAAATATCCGGAAAAAAATCTTCTTTTTTTCCCCACGATCTCACCAAAAAAATCGCAACAGACCACTGCAGAAGTGGAGTTGCATACATGGGCTTTACTAATGGCCTTTTTTTCAATTCCAAATCATGTGGGCTTCTAATATAAGACCTTGCATAAAAAAAATTGACTATTACATTTTACATCACACTAGTCACTTATATATTGCTCTGAAATTTTCATCTAAATCTTAATGTTGTGAAGTTCAAATTAATATTTTAATGTAAGCTTCAAAATGCGCTGTCACATTTTAACATGTAGTCTAATGCAAAATATTCCTGTATGTTTTTCATTTCTTTCTTTAGTGACTAGTAAACTTTGTAGAGGTTATGGAGCATTTCATGCATACTCCCCATGCAAATTAGTTGTTACCTAGTTGAAATAGTTTGCGATATATTTTGTTCCCAAGCGATGTTAAGCATCATTTTGATTTCATATTTTGTTACTGATATATTAGGGAATTAAGAAAGGATGCTGTTTATAAGTAAACTCATTCCAAATTAAACAAGAGAGTCATTAGTTTGTAGCTCATTTAATACTGTACAAAGTTATCCAACATAGTAATATTACTTTAACACTTCCTTTACCTGCTTATGCAAAAATGTTCAATTGTTTTGGTAGCAAACTACTTTTGAGATTTAATTCCTTTCCTTTTCTTATAGAAGTTCCACTTTAGTATTCTCCTTCACTCATTGTTTATTTTATTCCATATGGTCATTAGTAATACGGCTACGCTGTAATATGGCCTCACTTACTGTGAACATCCCACATTGTATGATAAGACTGCAACGTGCTTCTATTTATTGGTTGAGAATCTTTTCCCTCTTTAGATGGAAATGTCCTAAAGAATGATCTTCCACTTAAAGTGCGAGTATTGATACTGATTGTGCCAAAGTTCATTTGGTGAGATGAGCCTTTTTAGTGATTGAGGACAGGGGTCAGGCAGTAAGAGTGTTGCTAGTCAACACGGGTTTTGTAGGGGGAAGGTTGACCTAACACTCTAACAGATATCAGCTTTACTTGTACTACCTTAAGGACTTAACTGAATAAGCTGAATCATTTGTTAGAGGTTTCTGCCATAATCACATCGTGAAAACATGGTGGAGGATTTTAAAGCTAGACGGTGGAACTTTGCTATTTGTTGGATGTGAAATTTGGAAGCCAAGTGTTTTGTTTAGAAAGTAAGCTCTGGTTGCAAACATGGTTCTAAAATTTCCAAGGTACGGATTGTTGCAAAAAGATCTTTGTGAAGACAAGTTGGGAGAAGATCACCACTTGTAGGACTCTCTCTATCTCATAGTTTGTGGATCTGACTAGGTTGAGGTGTAGTTTGTAAGTTTCTGTGCAGATGAAACCTGGATCTGGACTCGACTATTATCCATGTCCCTTCTGATGATTACTGCCTTCCAAATCC